GTCGCTATTTCATGAGCCTTTTGAGGATCCTTAAGTATACTTTGGATTAGTTATTGACTTTTCCTACTTCTGTTTTAACACTCAGGTGTTTGTGTTTTGTTTCTCACTTGAGGATATGTTTATTAATTTTTAGAGAGAGGAAGAGGGAAGGAGAGAGAGAGAAACATCGATGTGAGAGAGAAACATCAATCAGTTGCTTCCCATACATGCCCCGCCTGGGGATCGAACTCGCAACCTAGGTATGTGCCCTGACCGAGAATCAAACTTGCAGTCTTTTGGTGTACGGGATGATGCTTCAGCCAGCTGAGGCACTCGACCAGGGCAGGACTCAGCTTTCTTAGGTCTGTTGGGTTTATCACTAGTCCTTTCATTTATTCCCCTGCTTCAAAACTTGGTTGCAATTGCGCTTTTCTTATTCTTCCTAACCTTGTAGTCTCCTTCGTTCCATCATTGTTTTCTTTCTAAAAGTTCTTTTTCTATAGATTTATAAGGGTTTCAGGAAGGGGAGAAATTAAATGTTTTGATTCAGTCTACCATCTTTTACCTGGAAGTTCCTATTAATCTGTATTCATGAGCAGATTTTGATATTAAAACATTTTATTCAGTATTTATATGTCCTTTAGTATCTGTATTTGTAGTTAAAGGTCTTAGTGATAGTTTTAGTGGAAAACTCAGTAGGAGGGGTGGGAAGATAAAGTATTTTGTGCAGAAAGGCTAGGAGAGTAAGGGATTGGTTTGGGGGCAGAAGAGAATTGACAGACCAATGGTCAGAGTAAAAGCATTTAGAGGTAGGTTGGAATGATTAGAGTCCTTATTAAAAAGCTTGGAAATATGAGGCATGAGGCATAAATATAGCTCCAGTAGCATTTATCTTCCTGGACTCTGCTATTTTTAGTTCTTTTTACTTTTCATATTCTAGGAACCTGTTGTTCCGTATCTCAGAAAATTCACAAAACAACTAATAATAATACTTAAAAAAATTTACTGTTTGCAAACACAGTATACATAGGATCTCTAAGGAAAACACACAGTATTAAATAAATAAACAATACACCCTCAATATACTACGGCAGAAGGTTCCATTTCAGTGATTGAATTGCTTTCCTGGTTTCCTGGGGTTTTCTGAAACAGAATTTTGCCTGTCCTGTGATTCTTTTTGCTGGTAGTTGCTGCCCTCTTTTGGACTAGTTGAGGAATTGCATCTTTTATCCTGCATGCCTTGTTTTTTTGCCATCCTTACTCAAATTGAGCACTAAAACATGGATTTTTTTTTTAAGAATTAAATCTGTTATTAATGATGCACCAAGGGAAACTATTATCTTCCTTCTTATGAAAATATGTTTGCTTTTGTCTCTAAAGGCAAGAGTTAGTGGGCATTAAATGTGAACAAGGCAGAAGAATTTGGGGAATGCAGTGATTTTGGGCTTTGGAATCTGGAGACTAGAGTTCCTCCCCAGCTCACCCCTAACCATGTGCCCTTGATGATTTACTCCACCTGTCTGAACTTCAGTTTCTTCGGTGATGCAGTGAAGAGGAGGAATAAATTTGAGGGCTGCTCTAGGGATTGTTATTTTAGGAAGGCAGCCCCAGATTATGGTATTTGTTCATAGAAGATGTAATGACTAAGTCTCAGGCTCTGCCCTGAAGGAATTGAGTTTGGAAAGGGATAGAGGAGGCGGACAATCAGAAGACAATTGTAATCCACTACTAGTGCTGTGTGACAGGCAAGTACCTATTACTGTGGGAACACAAGGAACGGTACCTGTCCAATTAGAGGTGTCACCCTGTAGGGCATCTTGGAGTTAGCCTTGAAAAGACAGTCTAGGCTGAGGGAAGCTGCAGCCTGGGGAGACTTGGGTGGTGAGACAGCGTGATCTGTTTGGAACTTGCAGCTAGTTCAAGATGCCTAGAAGAGCTTGAGGGAGAGTTTGTTGAGAGATGAGTTGGAAACAAGCCAGAAATGTTAAATGCCATGCTAAGGAATTTGGATTTTGACCTGAAGGCAGTGGGGAGCTATTGAAGGGGTTTAAATGGCAAAATAGCACTTTAAAAGGTTGGCATTTTAGAAAGATTACTCTTGGGTGTATAGTGTGGAGATGGATTTGGTGTAGTGCAGATGGGACTGAAGGCAGCGAGATCAGTTAGGAGCCTGTTGCAGTTAACTATGCAGGAGATAATAATGGTGTGAACTTGGGTGGTAGTAGTGGGGATGGATGGAAGAGAAATAAGAGTCTGTAGGCAGAACAGGTTTCTGGTTTCCCTGCAGCTGTGAACAGTCCATCTGGCACTGATTCATTACATCCAGGTTCTGTTACCAATGTTGCATCCATCCAAGAATTGTTTAGGTTTTGCTTGTACCTGAGGGAACATTTTGTGTATGGAGGACAGGTGCTGGAAGCAGTTGCTCTAGGAGCAAATAAGTTTGACCTTGGCAATGGCAACCTAAACTGTTCACACTCAACTCATCCTTTTTGTAGCGTGTGTCATTTCTGTGTGCCAGGCCACTTAGGGTGCTGATAAAAGGAACTGTTAGTCTCCTTGGGTGTTGCTGTCTCTCCTTCATCATCCTTCTACCTTCACTCCCTAGTAGGAAGATCACACCGAGTAAATTTAAATTTCATTGAGGCTGGCTGGGCGTGGCTCAGAGGTTGAACATCCACCTGGGATCCAGGAGATTGCAGTTCGATTCCTGGTTGGGGCACATGCCTGCGTTGCGGGCTCAATCCCCATTGGGGACATGCAGGAGGCAGCCGATCAATGATGACTTTCTCATCATTGATATTTCTATCTCTCTTTCTCCCTCTCCCTTCCTCTCTCCGAAATCAATAAAGATTTTTTTTAAAAAGTTATAAATTTCATTGATGCTGAGCAAGGTTTTTATAGTTTCAAGTGATTAGCGCTCAGTCAGCGGAAGCTTCACCTCCTTGACCATGGAGAGCAAAGTTAAGATTCACAGTTTAGCCTGGCCAGGCGTGCCTCAGCGGTTGAGCATCGACCTAGGATCCAGGCGATCGGGGTTTGATTCCTGGTCAGGGCACATGCCTGGGTTGCGGGCTTGATCAATGACTCTCTCATCATTGATGTTTCTGTCTCTCTCTCTCCCTCTCCTTTCCTCTCTCTGAAATCAATAAAGATATATTTTAAAAAAATAAAAAAAAAGATTCACAGTTTAACTGGATTTAACTGAACACTGACATGGGGAACATGAACATAATGATACAGATATTTCTTGTCTATAAAAAAGTTAGTAAAGTAGTTTTGTGGCAGGGTCAGAAGTTGAGGGAGTTTAGTCAAGAGGGAGTCACTATACTCTCCTATGGACATTAGCAAAAATAATATGGTTTAAAAATTAAGTGTTAGGGTGAAAAAAAATTCCTGCTTTCCCACACCTGCTTGTTCAGACTTTTTTCCTTAGTAAGATGTAGTATGTGTACAGAAGAGAACATAAAACTTATAGAATAATTATANTTTAGTCAAGAGGTAGTCACTATACTCTCCTATGGACATTAGCAAAAATAATATGGTTTAAAAATTAAGTGTTAGGGTGAAAAAAAATTCCTGCTTTCCCACACCTGCTTGTTCAGACTTTTTTCCTTAGTAAGATGTAGTATGTGTACAGAAGAGAACATAAAACTTATAGAATAATTATAAACCAAACACCTGTGTAACCATCATTCGTGTCAAGAAATAGAATATTGTAAGCACCCCAGAAACCCCCTTGTTTCCTTTTGCAAACACAGTTTTCACCCACCTCAGGTAACCACTTTTTTGATATTTGTGGTAATTATTCCTTTTATAATTTTATATTCTAAATAATATAATTCAGTTTTATATGGTTTTAAACTCAATGTAAATTAAGTAATACATTCATTTTTATGTTTGTGAGTAATTGTAAGTTCATTCACTTTTTTAAATTGATTTTTTAGAGAAAGGAAGGGAGAGAAAGAAAGAGAAAGAAACATCAGTGTGAGAGAGAAACATTGATCAGTTGCCTCCTGCACACACCCCAACCAAACCCGCAACCTAGGTACATGCCCTGACTGGAAATTGAACCCACCACCTTTTGATGTATGGGACTATGTTCCAAGCAACTGAGTCACACTGGCCAGGGCCATTCACTTTCTTTATGTAATTGATTTCCACTGTACCAATATGCCAGTTTATCCATTTTACTTTTTTTGTTAAAATTTTTTTATTGATTTTTAGAGAGAGAAAAGGGGGAGAGAGAGATCGATTGGCTGCCTCCTGCATGCCCCCTACCAGGGATTGAGCCCACAACCCCGGGCATGTGCCCTGACCAGGAATCGAACCAGCAACCTTTTGGTGCACAGGACAACACCCAGCCAATTGAGCCACCCAGGCCAGAGCTGTCCATTCTACTCTTGATGGCTATTTGGATGGTTCTCTGTTTTAGATAATATAGTGTTGCTGTGAGCATTCTCATTATACACATCTTGCTACATATGTGCAAGTTTCTACAGGGTAGATATATAAAAGTTAATTTGTTGAGGTATAGTATATTAACTCTACCAGATAATGCCCATACTGTTTTCCAAAAATGGCCATAGCAGCTTACATTACCACCAACAATGTGTGAGAACTTCCACCTCTGTGTAACTCGACAGACATGAAAATTTTTGCCCGTCTCGGCAAGTGCAAAACGAAATCTCATTGTGGTTTTAGTTTGCATTTCCTTGTTTACCAATAAAGTTGATCACGTTTCATAGGTTTATTGGTCATTGGATTCAGAGTCCTTTCAGATCTCCATCTCTTTTTTTTTCTTCTTCAAAGAGCCATATGTTAGTGACCTTAAAATTCCTTACCCCTTTCTTAAGGGAATGTGCTAAGGAATAGTTGGGCAGAAATCTTTTAGCTTGTGGGAAGTAACTTTCAATTCATTTTCTCCTTTTTCCCCCCAACTCATCTGGTGTTTGGGAGGTTTCCTGGTATTTCACTGATCCCTCTTCTCTTTCTTCTCCCTCTTTTTTTCTGTTTCCTAGACTCTGAAGCGGCTCATGGCAGATGAGGTAAGGAAATATTGTTCAGCATGTGCATGTTCTAGCTCATTCTCTACACTATGATATTTACCAGTTACTGTAACTTTGATTTTCTGTAACTTGTAATCGTGGTATAAGTTCTGTTCTCAAAGCTTTTTCTGTTCTCAAAGCATCCCAGAGCTTTTTCCTAACTTTTTGCTCATACTTAGCTCATTGCATGCATTTCCCTGGCACACTCATTGGCTCCCAAGGTTACCATTTTCTTTAAACTCCAAGCCTACTTGCAGTCTGGAATGCCACTCATCACTTGAAGCTCCATAATGCTTGCAGATACTTATTATTCTCAAACAGGTAGAGCTGAGAAGTTGCAGCTCTTTTTGATTTGAGCATCTCCAGTTTAGGTTTGAGGAATGGTTCATGAGCATTTTGTAGGCAGAGAGATGGCACATATACCCCTGAAGTACATTGTATTCTTTGCAAAGGGGATTTTGAAGACTATGTATTGAACTTTTCTGCCTATATAACAAGTGCTATGGCATGTACAGAAGAAAGAAAAAGGAATGGTTCCTGGTTTGAAGGCATTGACTCATTCATTCTCTGTGACTTACATCTATTAAAATCTGTGGTCATATTTACTTCTCAAAGGGAAGGATTCTCTGAGGACCTGGCCAGATTTTTTATTGGATAGCTATAGGGAAACAAAGGGCATTTTATTGAGATAGCTCATACATGAGATACTTTCAGTTCTGTGCTGCTAGAAATGACAGGGGAGCACAAGAACCAAGTTTTCTCTTTTTAGAGAGATTCCAAATCTTAATACTCCAATCCTTTTATTTTTGGATAAAAAGGAGAGTACAGAGTCAGTAGAGTCTTGGACTGTCCACAAACCAGAGGAATCATGCATGTCTAAGAGGTTAGAGGGTTGGCTATTTGATGTGTGGTTAGTTGTGTAAATGAAAATGGATTGCTGCTAATAATTTTTTCTTTTTCTCAGCTGGAGAGATTTACTAGCATGAGAATTAAGAAGGAGAAGGAAAAGCCCAATTCTTCGCATAGAAATTCTTCATCATATGGGGATGATCCCACAGCACATTCATTGCAAGATATTCCAGATGAACAGGTTTTACTACTTTTTGAACAGATGCTGGTAAGTTTCCCACCCCAAAACGTTTCTTTCTGATAATGCATTTGGGCATGGTGGTCCCTTTTTTGTGCAGTCCCTCTAACTAGCCCTTAATTACAAAGAGTTCCAGGTTTAATAGGGAACTTCTTAATAGCAGTCCCATTAACAAGGGCACTAAATATATAAGCACCAGTACATAAGATTGGAATCTGTGAGTTAGGCTGGGAAGTGTCTGATCACGGACCACCTTGGTAATATCCTTTTGCCCAGCAACACTTTAGCCACAAAGATATAGGGTGAGTGGATCAATTCATGGTAGTGTAGAGACTTTAAGTTAGCCAGAGTAGATAAAATGTTGAAACATTCACAGTGAACTCTGTACAAAGAAGAAACTGAGGAATGGAAAGACATCATTTGCCCAAGGTCTTCTATTTAGTGGTGAATCTGAAAAGAGAATTCTGATGCTATAATCACTAGACCTTTAAGATTGTTGCTGAAGTCAATTTAGTAATGACATATACATGGATGTGGCTTACTTTGTTGTTCTTAGTGAGGAACACTCAGTGAGGGGGACATTCAGTGGATGTCCATTAGTGATAAGTCTTGGAAAGTTTTGAGTACATGCTTTTAAGGTTTCATAAGACCTGTATATTGCCTGGATATATGATCTCAGATTCAGATAGAGATTAGTGCAGACCTAACAATTTAAAGGCATAGGCTTAAAATTCTTAAGATAGGACCTGGTACATAGTAAAGCAGCACTACTGTTATTATTTTTCACTGAAGCTCTTAGTTTGTCTCTTAGTAATCCAAGTGCATTAAGAGTCTAAGAGTGCGATCTATTGAGACAATCTCTTGGCCTTGGATTACAAATTTAGATGTCGTCAGGGCCAGGGAGGTAGTATAAGTTAAACAGGCTAGATAGATGATGATAAAAATGAGGGCTGCAGTAACATTTTTATTAGTTCCAGTAGGTTTTGTAGCATTCCAGTTGGGAATACTAGCCCAGTAGTGCCAGCTATTTATATTTTTCAAAAGAAGCCAGAAATCTGTAGTAAAAAACCACACACAGTAATTCTTTAATAGCATCAAATATCATAACCAACATTCAGATTTCTCCAATTAGGTTATTTTTTAAAGATAATTTTTATTTATTTATTTATTTATTTATTTATTTATTTATTTAATATATCTTTATTGATTTCAGAGAGAGGAAAGGAGAGGGAGAGAGAGAGATAGAAACATCAGTGATGAGAGAGTCTTTGATCAAGCCCGCAACCCAGGCATGTGCCCTGACCGGGAATCGAACCCCGATCGCCTGGATCCTAGGTCGATGCTGAACCGCTGAGCCACGCCCGGCTGGACTAAATATAATTTTTTAAAAAATAGGTTTTTATTGATTTCAGAGAGAGGCAGGGAGAAGGAGAGAGATAGAAACATCAGTAATGAAAGAGGGTCATTAATTGGCTCCCTCCTGCACGCCCCCTACTGGGGATCGAGCCTGTAACCCCGGGCATGTGCCCTGACTGGGAATCAAACTGTGACCTCCTGATTCATGGGTCAATGCTCAACCACTGAGTCACTCCACTCCAGGCTGAAAAATAATTTTTTTATTCAAATCACAATACCATATGAGGTTCATTGTACCTAATACTCCCTTAACTTTCATTTACTCTATAGGTTTTCCTATAGAAACAGTTTGACTTGTAGAGTTTCCCTCAATTTGAAATTTGATGGTTACATTCCTTGATGCTAGGAATCCATATTTTCATTTGAAGTTTCCAAAATTTAAAATGTTGAGCTAGCCAAGTAAAACATACTTTATCTTTGGGCCTGATTCAACCCGAGGGCCAGCAGTTTGAAACTTCTGTGTTCAATTCACCTGTAAAATGAGGGGAAAAGAACCAGGAATTGAGTCAGAAAGTGTCGAATTAATATTGCTATTTGGGGGGAGTGATTCCTACACACAAACACCCCCCCAAACACATGCCAAGAAGAAATAGATTATATCCATTTTTCCCCATGCGTTCCTCATTTCAAATAATATTCTGGACTTTTTAGGGTTAAACTTGTGCTCACAGTGGTGCTGGGCTCAGACCCGTGGTTATACATGTCATAGGCTCAGGTAGAGCCTTTCCCCCAATAACACGCTCTAGGTTATGTCTGTTGAGGGTTTTTTTTCACAGTCTCCAGTTCTTTCTTCATGGGGAAGGAGTTTGTACAGGGACTGAGTGCAGCGGGGGTGATGGGTGCTTAGGCCCTAGAGTGCTGTAGATTTTGCTGGTGTCTGGGTGATGTCAGTCACTCAGTACTTGAGTATGAAGAGATTATTAAGGTCATCATAAGTGCAGAAAACATTATGTGTGCTTTCAATAATACAAAATAAAATTTTCATCTACATTAAGAGTCCATTTTTGTTAGGAAAAAAGTTAAGTGTATATGTATAAAAATGTCTACAAGGATTTATACTAAAATATTAACCACGTTTGTCCCTGAGGAATTTTCGTCTTCTGTTATGGCTTAAATCTCTAAGGGTCAGGAAAATTTATTTATTCAATAAGCATTTAATGTGTTGGACTCTTCACTAAGTATACAAAATATTAAATACTGAAAACTTATAAGGAATTTGAGGCCATTTTGTTTTTTCCATTTTCCCCTTCTTCTAGGTGGATATGAATCTGAATGAAGAGAAACAGCAGCCTTTGAGGGAGAAGGACATTATTATCAAGAGGGAGATGGTGTCCCAATACTTGCACACCTCCAAGGCTGTGAGTTCGGGGGCGGGTACCTCTGACATAGAGACAGTGCCCTTATCTCGGACCTGTTTCCTAGAACATTTTGTGTCTGCACCAGTGCTGCCTCATTCTGTTACAGAAGGCTACTCTTTTCACACTTTCACCCAAATTACTCTCACATACTTTTTGTCTGATTCAATTTTCATGAAGTGTACATGGGGAGTGGGATGGGAAATTCTGAGTCTCACAGTTTGTTGGTAAGTGTGATGGGTATCTGCCTTGATATTATTTAAGCTGTATTGACTAATACTAGTCCAATTTGTGATTAGGTCCAGGGTTTACTAATCTCTCTATATGCTCCTGTCTAGGGCATGAGCCAAAAGGAGAGCTCTCGGTCTCCCATGATGTACATTCAGGAGTTGAGGTCAGGCTTGCGGGATATGTCTCTGCTCAGCTGCCTGGAGTCCCTCCGTGTCTCCCTCAACAACAACCCTGTCAGGTGAGAATTCTGAGGTGGTATCAGGAGCAAGAGCCCAGGGTTAGAGTTCACTGGTGGGGATTGAAGATCCAGGAGTCAGGGAAATATGAGAATGTTCTGGATAGGGAGTAAGGAGTTGCCAGGATAAACTTTGTTTTTGTGCAGACAAATTTATTGATTTGATTTAATATTGCATTGTCTCTGTCTGTTCCTTACAGCTGGGTACAAACATTTGGTGCTGAGGGCCTGGCCTCCTTGTTAGACATCCTTAAACGACTCCATGATGAGAAAGAGGAGACTCCTGGGTAAGAACTCTGAAGTTTTGACATCTTCTAGGTGGAGGGTGGTAGGGGACTTGGCTATTTTATTTCAAGGAGAAAATAGCAGTTAAATGTAAAGTTATGGACTAGGGGAATATGCTGTTAGCTGAGAATGGGGATTATCCTAGGGGTGACGAGAGGATGAGTGATGATTATAGATATAGGAAAGAGAGAAGGAACTTAAATTTCATGGTGACACAGGAAATATACCACATAAGATTATGAATCTCAACCTAGGGACTTATGTAGGAAATAGGGTCTGATATTTAGTCCAGAGCTCCCGTGATCTGATCTGCGTCCTATCTCATTTGGAAACTTATTATACACTTCGTCAGTTTGGAACTAGTTTTATGACTAGTTTCTTCAGGGTTAGAATAATTCTGGGAAACCTTGAATTAGCTTACCTTGAAGCCAGCCTCACCCAAAGCAGCTTCTTTACTTCCTGGAATCTTTCCAAAACAAAACCCAGGGCCTATACACCCTGAACACAGACTTCAGACCTTTGAAGTAGTGAGGCAAGCAGTAGTAGATGGGGTGTTATCCTGATAGAATTTAGCACTTAGCCTCAAACTCAAAATATGCTCTAATCGGAGCTCTGCGGGCAGTAGCACAGACTATTTCTTTAACGGGAAAGAAATTCTTTAGAATTTCTTTCTAAAATTAACGGGAAATTTTAATGTAATACTAAATCTTGGATTTCGAGAGGATTAACCAAAGGTCTTTGGTGGGGATCCTTCTTCAGCTGCCTGTTTTTGCCAGTGTTTCAGGGCAAAGTGCCGTGGGGTAGAATTTACTCAGCTACTAGTTGGGGATGTTCCTGAGACCCTTGTTTGCAAGATTGAAAAGTGAAATGGGAGGGGTATAGAATAAAGGGACTTCAGTGATTATGTCTTCTATGTGCAGGAGCTACGACAGCCGTAACAAGCATGAGATCATTCGCTGCTTGAAAGCTTTTATGAACAACAAGGTGAGATTTTTTCCATTTTCATTCCAGCCTCCATGATGACCCCTATTCTTTCTCGTCTATTGGCATACTCCACAAAAGTCCTAGGAAAATGAGGTTTAAGATTTCCAGCTTTCCCTTTTAGTATTACAGCTTTTTGATTGCCACATATATATGCTTCTTTGGACCCTTTTCCTCCAGTTCCCATGTTTGTTTCAGAGAGTAGGCTCAATTTTGTTTCTCTTTTTATAGTTTCTTTTGCTAATTCTTGAATTTCTGACTTGTAGTTATTGTTTCTGAAAGGTTTATGTTTGGGTTTTTCCCCCCAGATAGTCATACTGTAGAATCTTTTTTTTTCTTCTTATTTTTTTTTAGTATTTAAACCCAGGGAGCTCATGCTTATTCATTCCTGAGTGCAAATCTGTCTTCCTCACTGTTTAATTTTGTTATAATTAACTTATTCCATTGGGTTGGGAGGGGCATTAAAAAGAAACATAAAAATTCAAGATTTTTACTCTTGGAAGACAGAATTTTGTTTTGTATCTACTAGAAAATTATCTTGCTATGCTAGTTTCTGTTGAGCTCTATTGGGAAAAGTATTCTACCCCTATATTAGTTTGCTAGGGTTGCTGTAACAAAATACTACAAATTGGGTGTCTTAACAGAAATTTATTGTCTCACAGTTTTGGAGGCTATATATAAGTCCAAGAGCAAGGTGTTGGCAGGGTAGGTTCCTTCTGAAAGCTGTGAGGGAAAGTATGTCCCATGCTTGTATCCTAGCTTCTGGCAATATTTGGCATTCCGTGACTTGTAGATACATCACCCCAACCTCTGCCTTCATGTTCACATGGCATCCTCCCTGTGTGCATGTCTATGCCCACATTTCCTTTTTTTATACGGTAACAGTGGTTGGATTAAGGACCCACCCTACTCCAATATGACCTTGTTGTAATAACTAATTACATTTGCCAATGGCCCTATGTCCAAATAAAATCACATTCTGAGGTACTGGGAGTTAAAACTGCAAAGTATGAATTTTGGAGGGAAATACCATTCAACCCATAATGGCTCCTGAACTTGTCCCATGTTAGATGCTGTCATCTTTAAGCCTCCCTTTTCTGTTCTTGTCCTACCAGTTTGGAATCAAGACCATGTTAGAGACGGAAGAAGGAATCCTGCTGCTGGTCAGAGCCATGGATCCTGCTGTTCCCAACATGATGATTGATGCAGCTAAGCTGCTTTCTGCTCTTTGTATCCTACCACAGCCAGAGGACATGTATGTGACTGGAATTCTTTCTCTCCTCCATTCTCTCTCTTTTAAAAAAAAAAATGTTTTTATTGATTTTAGAGAGAGATAGGATGGGAGAGGGAGAGATAGAAACATTGATGAGAAAAATATCCATCGGCTGCCTCCTGCATGCCCCCTACTGGGGATCGAGCCCACAAGCAGGGCCTGTGCCCTCACCGAGAATCGCACCAGGGTCTTCTTGGTTCATGGGTCGACATTCAACTACTGAGCCACACTGGCCGGGCTCTCCATTCTCTTACCATCTTCTCCAGTCTAGAGGAAAATTGAGTTGCTTGGGTGGCCACTTGGTCTTAAATTCTAGGAAAGACTGTTTCTTCTCAGATGTGAACACTGAATCTTAATTCTTAAGGAAGATTGTTAGGTGCTGGGGGCTATCCTGAATGTACCACTGGTTATCAGAGGTATAGCTGGATAGCTCCTAGATCTCCATTAATGTCTGTATTGTCTAGGACAAGGGCTGCTTTTTCCATATTTAAAAAAAATTCAGAAGCAACACAACACTATTTTTGAAGTGCAAATAATACAGAAGTATATAAAGTAAAATTTAACAGCCTTATGCTTTTGGCAAATCCTATTCTGCAGAGATAACCACTGTTAATGGCTTGGTACAGTCTCATAGACCTTTTTCTAGCACAGAAAAATATATTGCATTTCCTAGATTCTAAGATATATACAACTCCAAAAGATGGTATTCTAGAACTAAGGGAAGATGGCTTACGCCTATAAAACCAATTGCACGTATAGGATAGATTTTTATTTTTTGTGGAGGGGTTTAACAAAAGCTAAATCATGTCATTAATTTTTTTTCAGCTTGTTTCTTTTTATTTAGCAGTAGATCTTGGACATCCTTTTATGTGAACCTTTATAGATATCTTTAGTGGCTATTTAGCAGTCTGTAGTATGTGTGTCCCATAATTTATTTAACAATTCTTCCATTGCTAGACTTTTAGGTAGACTTTCTTTTTTTAAAGCCTATCTGGCTCTTGCTCTAGGTGATAAGAAATTTTACTGTTACAAATGATGCCATAATGAACATCCTTGTACATATATTCTTTCACATTTATTCATTTATGTTTGATAGATTTCTAGAAATAGGCCAAATGTTATATGCATTCAAAATTGGTATTATTAAATGCCCCCCGCCAAAAGCTGTACCAATTTCTAGTCCATAGAACAGAGGTCTTAATTTTGTATTTATAGATAGGAGTCTGGGGATGGGTTTTAAGGCACATTTTTCTGAAGAGATGATCCTGGCCCTCATTCCAGGTGATGAGGAGAATAGTGTGAGAAATCCGGAACGCTGATAGTGTTCCGTTTCCTAAGTGATCTGTGTCCCTGCATAATCTTACCTGCTATGCATGTCTGAGTCAGAGCCCCTGGGCAATTTTCTCCCTTTCTTTTCTCCTGGGCAGGAATGAAAGGGTTTTGGAGGCAATGACAGAAAGAGCTGAGATGGATGAGGTGGAACGCTTCCAGCCGCTGCTGGATGGATTAAAAAGTGGGACCTCCATTGCACTCAAGGCATGTATATCTGCTGAAACTGGGCCCAGCAGTAGAATTCAACATGGAAGGACTTAAGTTCATTTGACCTTTTAATAGAGCACATGGTATCGTTCCCAGCTATGTATTTTATATTTCAGAATTTGTTAGGAAAGGAAAATGATTATCCTCCTCTCCAAGCAGGCAGAGATAGAGCTGTTCCTCACTTTGAGATGGGAAAAAGGCATGGTATCTATTTATAAGTTAGGAAAACCAAGGCCTAGAGCAAAGTATACCATCAAATTCTTGGAATTGTTTAGGCCTCTGAGCTCTCCAGGCCTGTGCTCAAACCAGGTCTTATTGCTCCAGCAGAAAGTCATTTTTCTAGTCCTGTACTACATTTTCTAGGTTGTATTTGGGGTCCTCAGAATGCATGTAGAGAGAATGAAATCTTGATATCTAGGAGTTAACACTGACATAGCTGCTGAATGTTTTTATTTTAGGTGGGATGCCTACAGCTGATGAATGCTCTCATCACACCAGCTGAAGAACTTGACTTCCGAGTCCATATCCGAAGTGAACTGATGCGCTTGGGGCTGCATCACGTGTTGCAGGTAAGATGCAGCCCTCCATTAGGAAGGCTGGGATGATTCCTTCGTGCTCTTATAGCCCAGTCATCCCAGGGATAACTTGGGTTTTCAATTTAAAAACCAGGTTGAAAGGCTTGGGTTTTTAGTCAGCATAGGACACTTCTGGGTTCCCTGACTCTTATTTTTGTCATGGACAGGATCTTCGGAAGATTGAAAATGATGATATGAAAGTGCAACTAACTGTGTTTGATGAGCAAGGGGATGAAGATTCCTATGACCTGAAGGGACGGCTTGATGACATTCGAATGGAGATGGAATATCCTTTTACTGACTGGGTCGAAGACAGGAGATATTCAGTTGTAGATCCCTTCATGGAATGGTGTGGGGTGATGACATCAGCTTGCCTGTCTTCTCAGTAGATAAGGCAGGTGTCTTTTGATTGCTGTTGAATTTATTTACCTCAACATGGACAAGGGAAGTTAGGAAAGGTGAATTGAGGGTTGTTTAGCATGGAAGCATCCCTTAGAATTAGTATAGACCTCCTAGAACACAATAGCTTAGTTCACCAAGATATAGAGTTGGTTTTTAGAGACCATATACAAGCCAGGGAGTGGGCTTATAATTTGCTTCCTTATATGTATTCCTGAGACTGACAGAAGGAATAATTTGGTACCTATTGATACTTGCCACAAGTGACTTTGAGGCAGTTATCTTTTAGTTTCTGTCACTGATTGATCTGCAAGCCAAATACTCACAGGCCTCCATCTCTGTATAGGACCACCCGCTCACTGGTCTCCTGCTAAAGGAAGTTTATAAAGCTAAAAGTTGCAGGCAATATTTACAGGAAGAACAGCTGTTAGAATAGGAGAGCGTCTTGCTACTTTCCCCAAGAGTTGGGCAAGCCACCTGCTATAGCGTCCAAATACTACTTTCCTTAGCTTCTCCCCTTCCTACTGACGTCAGCGACGTCTTCCAGATTCTCTTAAACACAGTGAAGGATTCAAGGGCAGAGCCATACTTCCTGTCCATTCTGCAGCACCTGCTCTTGGTCCGGAACGACTATGAGGCCAGGTGAGATGGCATACCTGTGGGAAGTTTCAAATTCTAGCCTAAGTGGAAAGAGCAGAATCCTTAAGTTCAAAGATTGTCTGTAAAGGGAAAAAGAAAAGACAAGGATTAGGTTTCATTTTTAGTCATAGATATAAAGGGAGTTGTCAGTGGTCCCTCTAATCCAGCTGAAAGACATCTCTGTGGAAGAGGTCAGAGTGTACAAGGTGAAATGCCCTTCCTTTTCGGTAGGGCAGAATGAAGATGACAGCAAAGGGAGGGAGACTGAAAGCTCTTTTAGGCTGCCCAGAGTAGGGAGTTAGCAATAGTACTGTCCGTTGACAGGAAGAATCAAGCCTGAGTTTCTGGATTGGGAAAGGATTGGCACTCGGAGGCGGATGGCAAGAAGTTTTGATTATTTGAAATAGATGGGATACCTGATGTGGAAGAGGGGGTTTCTTAGCATGGTAGTGATACTTCTGTTAGTTTTATGAAAAGGTGTTTTCCAAAACATTTATCCTCGGGTCCCTCTATTGTCAAAGCAGTTACCTTTTCTTGATCCTGAATACTTCCAAAAATTATATTATGGTTTTCCTTCATAACCTTGTTTTATTTCTTCCACAGACCGCAGTACTATAGGTTGATTGAAGAATGTATTTCTCAGATAGTTTTGCACAAGAATGGGGCTGATCCTGACTTCAAGTGCCGGCACCTCCAGATTGATGTTGAGGGATTGATTGGTAAGTGTATTCATCTGTCTGGTTCCTTAAAATATTGCTTCTACCTTTCATTTTGCATCTTTCAGTGAAAATTTCAGAGAAGATATCTTTCTGGTCCCCAGGTATTTCCATTCTGGCCCTTTCTTAGTTGTTAACCAATATCTATGTTAAGAATATATAGGCCTTTAGTTTATTTCTCCATAATTCTAAAAATTTAACCCCTTCTCACACAAGCCCACCTTTTGAAGGGACTTCAGCTATAAGCTAGGGCTTTTGCTGGTCTCAGAGATTCATAAGTAAGACTTGTAGGCATTCTCCATGCCATCCAGCATGGTGGCCCTAATGCGCTCAGGAATTTTATATTGAACTTAACTGAAAGTCTCATTTCTTTATTTAGTGCAGAACATTAAGAAGGGCAATGCAAGTAAACAAAAGGACCAAAGACTGCCCTGTGGTTATATGGAAGGACTTAGATAGTGAGAGGGGAAAATAAGAATTGGGAGCTTTACTTTGTGACTCTTCTTCTTTTCAGATCAAATGATTGATAAAACAAAGGTAGAGAAATCTGAAGCCAAAGCTACAGAGCTGGAAAAAAAGGTGCGTGTGAGAAATTAAAAAAAAATTTTTTTTAATCATGGTATACCATTCATTGTCTGAGGCAGGGATGGGGAATGTCCAGCCCATGGGCCATATATGAAATCATTTGGTCTGGCCCTGCCAAGGCAACTGCAAGTGGAACTTGAAATTCAGTAAATCTAGGAGCTTTTTTTATACCTAATTTTTAAGTTGATAATTTTGTATGGCCCGAGAATGATGCTATAAATATCTAAATGGATATTTTCTGCCCTTGGCAGAAAAAAGGTTCCCCACCCCTGGTAAGGATTCTGGTATTTCTAACATGTGAAACATACCTGAGATATTTTGCAAGCATTCAGCACACAATAGCAGTTCCTGGGGGAAACTTTCTGGTGTAGGTTACCCAGTGGAAAAAGTGATGTGAATGTGATCATGAGGAGCTAGTTAGTGTGAGTTTGCACAGTTCTTGGAGCCCTGGGCAGGACAGGAAAGACAGATGTCACTCATATAATACTGAAGCACTCTGAGATTTACGTGGCACCTCAGGCCTCTTATCCCTGGAACAATAGGAACTGTAATATGTCTGAATTCCCCTTTTTTCTTCAGTTGCTAAGGATGACTTTTGCGGTTGATAGGTTTTGACCCTAGAGACTACTGGGATTATATGCCATGGCTGTCCTGGTTAAATGCCTTTAAAATCTTAAGTTTGTGGGGGAGGGGGGTTTTATATTATAACTCCAAAAATAGATTAACTATGGAAATGGTCCCTAATTCCTCCCTCCTTTATCCATGATTTTCAGGTCAAAATCATGGTGCTCTTTTCCTCCCAGGCAGTCCCTGGGCCAGTGATCTCTGTAGATCAAAGATTGGCACAAAACAGTAAATTGTGGAAATAGCGCTGTGCTTCTTGCTGAGATAGCTTACTGGAGGCCTGCTTCCTTTCTCCTTTAGCTGGACTTAGAGCTAACAGCCCGACATGAGCTACAGGTGGAAATGAAAAAGATGGAAAGTGACTTCGAGCAGAAGCTCCAGGATCTTCAGGGAGAAAAGGATGCACTGGGTTCTGAGAAGCAGCAGGTGGCTACAGAGAAACAGGACCTGGAGGCAGAGGTGTCTCAGCTCACAGGAGAGGTAACGTCCGCACTGGGAAGGCAGAGGGACCGGCAACTGCCATCAGCAGCCGCAGGATGAGCCTGTCTTGTAGCAGGAGTCATCTTACTCCTAGGGAGGGTTCAGCTACTAGTAGGTAATCTATTCAGATAGTGTATATTTTTAAAATCTTTTACTTTTTTCATTTGTTTGCTTGTTTTGTTTTGGGGATAAGTAATACATAAGATAGAAAATTTGAAAAATACTGAACAACATAGAATAAAATAAGTCGCAGTACTACCAAGAAATAAAGATGATACTCTTCTAATAAATTTAGGAGTAGAAACTAAATAAATTGTTCTCATATTTGTTTATTTTCTCCTATTTGTCATCTCTGGAGATATTTGTCCTTATACATTCTCTCTGCAGTTACAAATATTTGAATGATCTGTGATATCTGATAAACTTGATCACTTATGTGATTATATAATTACCTGTATAGTACATGTGTTAATTATGTTACTAGAATATTTGATTTACTTGATCTTTGTATTTTCTAATCAAAGGGAGAGTTTAACATAAATGTTGAAGTTCCCTTTTTAATGCAAAGCGTGCTGAACTAAGAACATGAAGACCTGAACTTGAATTTCACCTTGTCACTAAATAGCTATGTGACTTTAGTTGAATCATTTCATGTCTGTCTCCTTTCACACCCTTCATGTATAAAATGAGAAGTTGGGATTAAGTAATTTCTTAGGTCCCTTCAAGCCACAGTTGTCCCTGAGGTGGGGTGAGAAGTATACTCTCATTGATGTTGTTTTTCTAGGTTGCCAAGCTGTCCAAGGAGCTGGAAGATGCCAAGAAAGAAATGGCTTCTCTCTCTGCTGCTGTTACTGCTGTAGCCCCTCCCAGCAGTGCTACTGTTCCCCCTGCCCCTCCTTTACCTGGCGACTCTGGCACTGTTATTCCACCCCCACCTCCTCTTCCTGGGGGTGGTACCATTATTCCTCCTCCACCACCTCCTCCGCCTTTACCTGGTGGTGTTTATACCCCCCAATCACCTCCTTTGCCTGGGGAGGCTGCCATCCCCCCACCCCCTCCTTTGCCTGGGGAGGC